CAATCACTGTAATGTAAAGGTTAATGTAAGGTCAAAAGCTTCAATAAATGTTTAATGCAAAGCTGATTATATGATTCTGATGAACTAATAATGCAGATACTAAAATAACAGAAAAACATCCCCTTTTCATCCCACACTGGCCGATAAATAAACTTTAATTTTAAAATTAAAGAATCATGTGCTAACGGCTGTCTAAATGACTCAGGTAAAGTTTGTAGCATGCATGTTTGTTGTTTTTGTCTGCTTCCACTTGTCTTTGCACTAGGATGATGTCGGCGTAAATGTGCAGTCATATTCGTTGTGTTCCCACTAGTGCTGTCAGCGTTAATCTCATTGAAATGACGTTAAAGCCACAACACGGCAAATCTCCATTAACGAGCTACCGCGGATCGCCCCGTGCGTAGGACTGGATGACCAACGCGTTAACGAGCTAACTGGGCTAACACACTAGTTCCAACCAATGTAATTGAGCATTGCGTGGCACATCCAACATACTGTTTTACTTTACTTTAGTCCATGACGCGCTTACCTTCAGGGTCATACGTCACATGAAGACCAAAATAGTTCCAAACGCCACATCTGAATTAGGGTGGGGGAGGTTCAATTTGCCAAGTTGCAACGACAGCTTAACATCTGTCTCTCTAGCTTGCCCTGCGCTCAGTGAATCTGTGTTCAACTACTCCGCCTAGGCTGCATTGTTGAGCGCAGATCCACTGAGCGCTCAACACAGACAGCATTGTCAGAAGGAAAGTTGATAAAATAAATTAAAAATTTTGTATTGTTCAATAAATATGTGTACCGAACGGTTCAATATTGATACGAGTATCATTGCACCCCTAATATATATATATATATATATATATATATATATATATATATATATATATAATATATATATTCAGATAATTACTTATTAAAAGTGAGACATTTTAAATGAAAATAAGAAAGAAAAGTATTTCTTTGTGCGCCCCTTTCCCTGTTAATGCCCTAACTGGCCCCCTGGCAAAACTTTGCTAGACCCGCCCCTGCACAGTTACCAGCTGTCAGCTATGTAAAAAAAGGATCCTGGGGTTATTTGTCTCTCAGAAACAGGTCATAACTTCCCTTCAACTCATTAATGTAACCTAAAAGGTAAACCTGTTTCTCCATCACCTGTTCAGCTGTGATGATTCAGTAAGGACATCTCGTGGTTTCATCTTCATGTTTCCCTCTCACCAGATAACCATACCGATATCATGACCAGCAGCTTTTACAAACATCAGCTGATACTAGAAAGTAATATTAGATACATTCTAACAACAGCTGATCAAACGTGCTGCTATTTATTAACGCGACATCCGCTGGTTTCCTCTTTCTGGCGCAAAGTGGGTGATAAACAAACAAGAGAGAAAAGCCGATCAGCTGATCATTGATCCGTTTCATGATTGAAGTAGGAATAGGAGAGGGAGGGGAGAGAATGAGAGAAGAAGAGGCAGCTGTGCAGCGTAAAGATGCATAATAAATCCAGCTTTGTGTCGTTTTCCATTGTAGCTGAAGTCCGGGACATACTGTGTTCCTTTTCAGCTCAATACGAAACACGTAATATTTTCTCTGATTACGGGACGATTGGCAACTCTACTAACTAACCTTGTGAATAAAATAAAGTTCACTATCAGTAACATCATAGCACCCACCCAGCTGTATAGAAACTCCATCATGCTAGCTAGCACGCAGTATAAGTTATTGTAACTGACGGTAAAAAGTCAGAACAACGAAAATAAACTCGACCTAAACTTGGTTTATATTTGACCCAGATAGACTGCAGGTCATAACTTCTTACCTGCAGTTTAGTTCACCTGACACTCAGACCGGGGCAGCCGCCTGGGTCTCTCCTTCTCCCTCCCTTTCGCTCATTCACTTGCTGGCCTCTGTGAAAGCTCCGCCGTAGAAACCACTACCAAACAACTGAGTTATTTTTACACATCGGCCAGTATCTGGCCAATCCACCAGCTATCATTGTTTATACTGTTACAAAAACAAACAAACAAACAAACAAAAATAAAAATGAAAAATCACCATCGGCTCACTGGGCAAATGCCAGGTATGCCCAAAGGCCAGTCCAGCTATGGTCTGTGTGCCAAATAACACTTCAGAGTGCTCAGCCTAATTGGGTGGAGTGCTGGGAATTGCGCCACCTGGTGATCAGTTGTGGCAGAAAATTCTGGACAGACCTGGTGAGGGTATGCTGGGGGCAGGGGCCATGAAGAGAGAGAGAGAGTATGCATTGTATGCAAACAGCTATAAACAGCCATCATAATTCGTCATACAACGAGAACAGGACAAATCAACAATGACAATGACTAATTAATATTAAAATCTGTAACATAATGCATTGTTTGGAGTTTAGTCTGTTACTGTTACTATTTTCACCATTTCTTCTTGGAGCAACTGTAACCACATAATTTCCTTAGGGAGTAATAAAGTATTCTGATTCTGATTGTTTCAGGATGACCTGCCATTATCCAATGACACATCTGCTTATCTGTATCTTTTGCTCGTTTCGCTTCCTTGTCTTTTCTATTTTTTTTCTAAACTGAGCACCCGATGGCTTTGAACTTTTCTTGTCCATCTTCCTCGTTTTAATTTTGCACTCCAGTATGAACACAACTCGAGGATCGCCACAACTTAACCTAATAGACCTACATCTTAGTTCACAAATTCACTTTGTCTAAGGTGTATTTCTGGGAATAGGCTTTGATTTACAACATTATGAATGAAATGTGCTCTATTTGGAAGCAGCCCGCTCCTTTCGATGTTGTGTGGGTTGGGTTGTGTGTGACACTTTAAATCATCAAACTGTAAATTAGAAATTTTAAATTGTTATTGATCCTTTACCCCGAGTCCTAAAGTGCATATTTATTTTCTTACTCTTCTTATATATATTGTTTGTTTACTTGCACTGCTGTAACTGGAGCCTCGTCTCTCTATATGCTGGACTGTATGTAGCGGGATGACAATAAAGTTTACTTTGACTTCAGGGCTCTCGCACTCACTTTTCACGTATAGAATTTTGAAAAAACATAGTTTCAAATTATAAGTCTGCAGCCCCGCCCTTTCCTCCCTGTGTTGCAAGCAGCAGGTGCACCTTGCAAACGGAGGGCGCCCTACTCTCAGCAAATGTGCGATAGAAAACCAATCGTGTCTATGCCATCTCCAGTATGCGCTGGCTGATGTCGGGGCAGCATGAGTATGAGCAATTCTATTTTTTTGCCGATGCCCGTGATGCCGCCCTCACCACGATGTGCCCCGGGCAACCGCCCGTGTCACCCGTATCAAAAACCGCTACTGCGTCGACCGTTGTTTACAGCGCAGTCGGCCACAGTTTTTTTCTTTTACTTACTTCCGAAAAGAAAACGTCATTTATGCTATCCAATAGGCTACTGAACAAATTTAAACTTTCTAAAATCATGCAAAATTGCAAAATGCTTAGCTGTATCACTAATAAAACCTCTGTAACTTTGCTCTGCTTCACTTTAGCAGAATCAGGTAATGTTCAAATGTTAATGACTTTCTTTTGTTTTTGAATATTTATAAGGTTATCTGCTATAAAATCCCAGGCCAGGAAAATCGCCTTCATCTTTTTCTGTGTTTTTGACACAAAGGCATCTGCTGTGATGCTTACACCTTTGATTAAGTCTTGCAAGTGTCAGCTTTCTTTTTATACATATAAAAATATGGAAATGTACTGATAGTTGATCAGAATTATAATATTTCTGACTGAGGCAAAATTTCAGCGATTAAAATCGAATCGAATCAAATTGTGGATTGAAACTATTCAGGACCTTGTGAATCGGAATCTAATCAATTCTAGATATCAGTGATGATACCCAGCCCTAAACATGACTCAAGTGCGGGACCCAGGCAAAACAAAGCAGAGTAATCAGTTAAAAATTAATTCAATCTGGAGATATTTACAAATAATTTAAACTGTGGCAAGTGACTAATTCGACTTGAACAAACACAAAACACGAGTGATCTTTTGCATGGGCAAGAGTCTTGACTAAACACAAAGATCAGATTAACTTGAGTGAGTCCTGTCAGTAGCACATTAAGCTAGCCAATATTACTTTTTTTTTTAGATAACATCTGTGTAAAATAAAAATTGTAATCTCAAAAGACTGATAAAAGTTAGAAGACAAAGACATATACATGTATTCCTTTTCTTACAAGGTATCTTGACACCTTTTAAAAAATCCTACCCTGCAAAACTTTTTTTTTTTTTTTTTTTTACACCTGCTAAGTTATAATGGTTTTCCCTTTAACTTGCCTCCATAGCTCCATACAATTTCAGAAATTTTGTCCCTCAATCAGCGTAGTATTGGTGGTTTTACATGAATCTTATTTAGTAAAGTTCAGGACTTCATATTCTTGTTGTCAGTTATCAGTAACTAATGTATTTTGGCTGGGCAGCATGGAAGCATGGTAGTTAACACTGTTGCATCACAGCAAGAAGGTCCTAAATTCATCTCCACCATCTACTGTATTTTTGTGCGGAGTTTGCATGTTCTCTCTGTGTTTTCACTGGTTCTCTTGTATACTCTGGCTTCCTCCCAGAATCCAAACACATGCAGTTAATGAGGTTAGGTTAACTGGTGATTCTAAACTGCCTGTGAATGTGAGTGCCAATAGATGTCTATGTATGTATATGTATATATTTATGTATATGTATGTGTTAGGCCTACGACGGAGTGGCGACCCACCCTGTTCTCCCAATAAGGATAAGCACAAGAGAATGGATGGGTGAATAATTTAATTAGGAAAACCACTTTCCTAATTAGTCAGAATAAATTACTCTGAATTAAAGACTACTCCTGTTATATTATAAGTCCTTTCAGAGAAATTACCAGCAGTATTATATTACTGTGAATAATATATAATTTGTCACATCTATTGGCACTTAGCCATAACCAATTAAACTTCATTTTAAAGCTAATGTAAAGTTGTTTGGTTTGAATTCACAGGTTCTGGAGAGACAAAACTGACTATTGAGTCTAGCACCTTGTCGGTCCTCAATGACCTGCTGGCCAAAGTGTCCTATACCAGCACCATCTACCATATAAACACTGGAGACCTTGGTATGTGTCAAAAATGTGAAGAGCTATAACCCCCATTTTTAAATGACAATTGAATTTGCAAAATGTCGTGTGCATTTTACATTAGCATTAATGTATGAGTCCTGTGTGTTATATTTAAAATAACTGAAATAATGAGTCCTGAATTGCTTCTTTGTTATTTTTCTTCAAACAAAAGTCCCGCTTGTTCTGAACCTAAACAAATGTTATTTTTGTGTTCAGTCACTTTCCAGTTTGAAAACTATGAAGCCGTGTTTCCCATTACCATCCAGCAGCCTCATGTACCAGTCCTGTATGACATGGGAACAGGTAGAAGTGTACTCTTATCAGGGGTCAAAAGCCAAGTCCATCCATCCATCCATCTTCATCTGCTTTATCCGAGGCCGGGTCGCGGGGCAGCAGCCTAAGCAAGCACCTTTTTTGCTCCTCCTTGAATCGCTACCTTATCATGGTGGAGGGTTTGTGTGTCCAGGATCCAGGGCTATGTTGGCTGGGGCTTTTGCCCCAGGTAGGGTCTCCCATGGCAAATTGGTCCTGGGTGAGGGACCAGACAAAGAGCGATTCAGAAGACCCTTATGAAAAGGATATCGAGGGAACAGTTTACCCTGCCGGGATAGGGTTACCGGGGCCCCGCCCTGGAGCCAGGCCCGGGGAGGGTGCCGAGGCGAGCATCTGGTGGCCGGGCCTTAGTCCATGGGCCCGGCCGGGCACAGTCCGAAGAGGAGACATGGGCCCATCCTCCCGCAGGCCCACCACCGCAGGAGGCGCCATAGGGGTCGGGTGCATTGTGTGCCAAGTCCATATTCATTTAAATGCTTCTTTATTATTTGCATCTTGTTTATCATTGCATACAATTAAGAACATTAGCTATGTTGAGGCAGAATCACTGTCTCCTTCCATCATTGTCATTTTCTCATTAACTTACACTAGTGGACCCCCCCCCCCCAAAAAACAAACAAACAAACAAACACTATACTCTCAAAACTCTTCTTCATTCCTAGTTGTTTCCACCTGAAACACTTTGCTTAGTTAAGAACTAGTAACTGATTAGTTAGAAATATCAGCCTAAAGATGTAGGAAATCCACAAGAATATAATAATTATGTCACAATGTTTGAAACGGACTCACGTGCAGACCAGGTATCCTTGGCAAAGAGAAAGTGCGTTTATTTACAGTGAGACACCAGGTGAGGATATATATACAGTGCAGCGGGGGAAAGGGTCCGGGGCTCCAGGGTCCAGGGAGAAACAGGGATTAATCCAATACACGCTCCCAGTGGGTTCCAAACACACACTCTCTCGGGTCCAGGGCAGATCTATATACACACAGAGAAAGACGTCCAGGTTAGGGATAGTCTCAAACTCACAGATACAGATTCAGATACAGGTTCAGGTTCAGGTTATGGTTCAGAGGGACTGACGCTGATGGCTCAACGATCCAGCGAAGGATGACACAGGTCCTTCATCATAAATAGTGCTCCAAATCAGCTGGGATTGGCTGCAGGTGTGACTGTGAGCACAGGTGCGTGGACCAGGGGTGGAAGCCCGTAATGAGCACTGCCCCAGCAGAGGAGAGAGAGCGCAAAGGAAAAACAAACAAAACATCTTGCCAAACACAGAGTCAGCCACTGAGGCACAGGGACCATGACAGTACCCCCCCTCAACGGGAGCCTCCCGGCGACCCACCAGGCGACCCACCAGGCTTACCCGGATGTGAACGGTGGAATTCCCGCAGCATCCGCTTATCCAAAATGGCCGCTCCCGGGACCCAAGAACGCTCCTCCATGCCATACCCCTGCCAATCCACTAGGTATTGAACACCACTCCCCGGCAACGTGAGTCCATGATGCGGGTGCGAGTAGGCGGGCAAGCCATCCACAATCCGGGCAGGAGGCGGGGGCCTGGAAGGAGGGCACAGAGCGATAGGTTTGTAGCGTAAACGTATTCGATGGAACGTTAAGGACAATTTCCTACACAGCAAAACAAGACACGAGTAGGCAAAGTTCTTCTTCATGTTTCTCGTGCACGGGAGAGAACCGGACAAACGCCGTTCCTTCGCTTGACCCCAGTCGCTCTCGTCCGCTCCCCGTAACACTGCTCTTTTAGTGAGGTTACATGAATATACATAGGTTCATTAACATATGATGTCTACATACAAACAAAGAGTACCTTGCCTGTGTGTGTGGTCAGAGTGTGACCCCATAAATGACTTCCTGCTGGTCTGGAAGTCCAGCAGTTCATCTAAACAAAAGGCACTTAGACTAAAACAGATAGATACATAATAATGTGTGGCACCCACAGGCAATGCCGCCCACAGTGCAGGTAGCAGGAAGAATGGAGGCAGGAACGGTCCTTCCATCTGAGGCTGAGAATTGACGGGACAGGGCGTCTGCTTTGATATTTCGGGATCCAGGTCCAGTGATCCAGTGAAAAACAGGGCCCACCTTGCTTGTCGGGCGTTGAGTCTTTTGGCAGATTGCAGGTAGGCCAGGTTTTTATGGTTAGTCTAAACGACAAAGAGTTGAGCCGTGCCCTCCAACCAGTGCCGCCACTCCTCCAAAGCGAGTTTTATTGCCAGCAGCTCTCGGTCTCCAACGTCGTAGTTTCGTTCCGCTGGGGATAGCTGGTGGGAGAAGAAAGCACATGGATGAAGTTTACCTGTCTGTTGCTGTGACAGCACGGCCCCCACACCTGAGTTAGAGGGGTCGACCTCGACCAATTCAATTCAATTCAATTCAATTCAATTTTATTTATATAGCGCCAAATCACAACAAAAGTCGCCTCAAGGCGCTTCATAGATACAGAGAAAAACACAACAATCATATGACCCCCTATGAGCAAGCACTTTGGCGAGAGTGGGAAGGAAAAACTCCCTTTTAACAGGAAGAAACCTCCGGCAGAACCAGGCTCAGGGAGGGGCGGCCATCTGCTGCAACCGGTTGGGGTGAGAGAAGGAAGACAGGATAAAAGACATGCTGTGGAAGAGAGACAGAGGTTAATAACAGAGATTCAATGCAGAGAGGTCTATTAATACATAGTGAGTGAGAAAGGTGACTGGAAAGGAAAAACTCAATGCATCATGGGAATCCCCTGGCAGCCTACATCTATTGCAGCATAACTGAGGGAGGATTCAGGGTCACCTGGTCCAGCCCTAACTATATGCTTTAGCAAAAAGGAAAGTTTGAAGCCTAATCTTAAAAGTAGAGATAGTGTCTGTCTCCCGAATCTAAACTGGAAGCTGGTTCCACAGAAGAGGGGCCTGAAAACTGAAGGCTCTCCCTCCCATTCTACTTTTAAATACTCTAGGAACAACAAGTAGGCCTGCAGAGCGAGAGCGAAGCGCTCTAATAGGGTGATATGGTACTACAAGGTCATTAAGATAAGATGGGGCCTGATTATTTAAGACCTTGTATGTGAGGAGCAGGATTTTGAATTCAATTCTGGATTTAACAGAAGCCAATGAAGGGAAGCCAAAACAGGAGAAATATGCTCTGTCTTTCTAGTCCCTGTCAGGACTCTTGCTGCAGCATTTTGGATTAGTTGAAGGCTTTTCAGCGAGTTTTTTGGACATCCTGATAATAATGAATTACAGTAGTCCAGCCTGGAAGTAATAAATGCATGAACTAGTTTTTCAGCGTCATGCTGAGACAGGATATTTCTAATTTTAGAGATGTTGCGCAAATGGAAGAAAGCAGTCTTACATATTTGTTTAATATGTGCGTTGAAGGACATGTCCTAGTCAAAAATGACTCCAAGGTTCCTCACCGCGTTACTGGAAGCCAAGGTAATGCCATCCAGAGTAAGAATCTGGTTAGATACCATATTTCTAATATTTTCAGGGCCAAGTACAATAACCTCAGTTTTATCTGAATTAAGAAGCAGAAAGTTAGCGGCCATCCAGGTCTTTATGTCTTTAAGACATTCCTGCAGTTTAACTAATTGGTGTGTGTCATCTGGCTTCATGGACAGATAGAGCTGGGTGTCATCAGCATAGCAGTGAAAATGTATGCTATGTCTTCTAATGATACTGCCTAAGGGAAGCATGTATAATGTAAACAGAATTGGTCCTAGCACTGAACCATGTGGAACTCCATAATTAACCTCAGTGTGTGAAGAGGACTCTCCATTTACATGCACAAATTGGAGTCTATTAGATAGATATGATACAAACCACTGCAGCGCAGTACCTGTAATACCTACAGCATGTTCTAATCGCTCTAATAGGATATTATGGTCAACAGTATCGAACGCTGCACTGAGGTCTAGCAGGACAAGCACAGAGATGAGTCCACTGTCAGAGGCCATAAGAAGATCATTTGTAACCTTCACTAAAGCTGTTTCTGTGCTGTGATGAGCTCTGAAACCTGACTGAAACTCTTCAAATAAACCATTCCTCTGCAGATGATCTGTTAGCTGTTTGACAACTACTCTTTCAAGGATTTTTGATATGAAAGGAAGGTTGGAGATTGGCCTATAATTAGCTAAGACTGCTGGGTCTAGAGATGGCTTTTTGAGTAAAGGTTTAACTACAGCCAGCTTGAAGGCCTGTGGTACATAGCCGATTATTAGAGATAGGTTGATCATATTTAAGATTGAAGAATTAATTAATGGCAGGACTTCTTTGAGCAGTTTTGTAGGAATGGGGTCTAAAAGACACGTTGATGGTTTGGAGGAAGTAATTATTGAAGTTAACTCAGAAAGATCAATTGAAGAAAAAGAGTAACTTAACATCAATGGTACTAAGAGTAGCTCTAGATATTATTACATCTGTGGCAAATGGCAAGGCAAGGCAAATTTATTTGTATAGCACAATTCAACAACAAGGTGATTCAAAGTGCTTTACAGAGACATTAGAAACAAAAACAAATAAAAAGCATGATTTAAAATTGATTAAAACAAGCAAACAAACAAACTAACTAAACACACACATTCACATTCACACCTGTTCGCGCGATCTGAACCCTTATCGTAAGGGGCGCTACCAGTCCTTCTGTGGACGAGCTAATTTCTATTTTAAATTCCCTGAATTTAAAATACTCTCTAGACCCAGTCTAGACCCAGCTGGGGAGCTACCCAGAGCTCTAGACCCACACCTGTTCGCGCGATCTGAACCCTTATCGTAAGGGGAGCTACCAGTCCTTCTGTGGACGAGCTACTTTCTATTTTAAATTCCCTGAATTTAAAATACTCTCTAGACCCAGTCTAGACCCAGCTGGGGAGCTACCTAGAGCTCTAAACCCACTTAACAAACAAACAAACAAAACAGTATATAAAATCAGTAGTTAATGTAAGTTTTGAAATTTAAGCTTA